ATAAAGGGAGAGGTATCAAAGAATTTGTGAACACAGTTTTAAACCATTGTAGTCAGTTGGGAGTCCTAACTGCAAGTAACAGAAAATCCATCTCAAAACAACAATGGGAATTCATTTGCTTCCAAAGGAAAAGATCCTGCAAGTAGGCAAACTTCGTGAGGAGTTTGTCCAGAGCTCTGGTCCATTTCTGTCTTCTCTGTGTTGAATCATCCTCAGGCTGGCTTCCGACCAGCAAAAATTACTGTAGCAACCCCGGGCCTCATAAGCACACAGCACCTTCCAGAACAGGTGAGCATGGCCCTGTCTCTGCACCCAGCAGAGTTCAGAGATTCACACTGATTGGATGAGCTTAGGTCACATGACACACTCCCAATCCAAACCAGAGGTTAATAGGCTTGGTTGGTTCCAGTGCTCTACCCTTGAACCAAGGCTGCAGGGGCAACTCCCTGCCCCACAGGGACCCCCAAACAAAAACCTGGCCTCTGGGAAAAGAGGAATGGATGCTGAAGAGGCAACCCATCGATATCTACTACAAAAGTCAGGGAAGTTTATGTCACCTTTATTTTATTTTTTTTGTGGTACATGCCCCTAGCCAGAACCCAACCCGGGACTCTCTGGTCCGCAGGCCAACTCTCAACCGCTGAGCCAAACTGGCCAGGGCTTTTTTTTTTTAATATGAGGTAGACAGCATTTTTGTAATCTGAAAGGAAGTAGTAGAAACAGAGAAATGGAAAAGTAAGGAAATATAACAAAGAATGCCAAAAAAATGGATCAAAGCACAGGCAGAGTGGTTATTCTTGGTAAGGAGTTGGAGAACTACCCATTCCTCCGAGAGTAGCCTCAGCAAGTGTCAGCAGGGGAGAGCATGGGTGCTTAGAGGCAGTATGGAAGGCTGAGGAAAGGTTGGCTGATGGCTGGGGATGCAAATGAAGGAGGAGGAAGAAAAGTGAAACAGGTCATCTAAGGGATTGAGGTAAAATAGCTGGAACAGACTGTGTTGGAGGCTAACGTTTTTATCATACCAGTAAAGCTAAAAAAACTCTGCTGTAAGAAGAAAGCATAAGCAGAGTAGAGAAGCTAGAAAGTTATAGAAAAGAAAACATAAATAAGCTGTAGCAGAAAATAGCACTGAAGGGAAATAGTAATCATTAAAGAAAAAAAGATTATGTATAATGCAGTTTATAAGGAAGTGGGAGTTTAAAGCAAGTTTTTTTCTTTAAAGCAACTATGACAAATATGAAGAATAAAATACTCTAATCTAGCTCTTAAATTTTAAGCATATATAACTTATTCTTTTCTCTGCAAGAAAATGCATCACAGAGCATTAGGGTTGAGTATAAGTTATTTTTAATTCCCACCACTGCTGTTAAATCTTGGCTAAGAAATAAGGTGGAATAGCTGTTTGTTTTTTATTATAAACTGTGTAGATTAGCAAAGTGAGAATTTATTTTTTCCTTTATTTAACATATACTAAAAAATTCCTCTCCTCCATAGCCTAGCTGGCTTCTAGGACGGAATCTTTGCCCTAAAATAAAATAAAGAGGCCTTTTGTTTATACTCGCACTCATCTAGTTCAGAGTTTTGTTAAGAAAAAATAGCATGAAATAAAAATGTTAAAAATATTTTAAGAATCTGAACTTGGAGCACAAAGTCATGAAGAAAGGCAACCGTAGTTCACCTTGCCTTAGGCCAGTGACCTTGACGAAGGACTTTGATTTGAAATTGGTTAATGGGTTCCAGAGAATGAAGGAGATGTTATAAGTATGTTGTGCATTTCTTGGATAAAAGAAACCTCCTGCTGGACATAGTTAACCTTCAACTTTGCCTTTCATAAGGTTGAAAGAGTCAAAGAGTCAAAAGCTCACAGACTAGGACCATATGGAATTAGTAAGGGCTTATTCTTGTCCACGAAGGCCCATTTCTCCCACTAGCTCTTTTCCAGGAACACAATGTACTTTTTTGGGCAAGGCTCTTAATTATTTCTAGAAAACACTTAATACCTTATTACTACCAAAACCTTCAGCAGCAACATAAGATGAATGCTCAGCAGAACACTTTCTACTTCTTTCTCAAGACAGAAAAGGACATCAAGATAGCCTTGCTTAACTTAACAACCATTGTCTATTAAGTATTTACCATGTGCCAGGTAAATGCTCTGCATTTTATAGACATCTGACTTAATCTTCCCAGTGTGTATAGTATAATCATTTACAGATAAAGAAACATATGCAAAGAGGTCAAGGATTGCCTTGGCCAGTGTGGCATCCTCCTGTAGATGGGGCATCATCCCATGCACCAAAGGGTCACAGGTTGGATCCCCAGTCAGGGCACATACCTGGTTTTAGATTCAATCCCTGGTCGGAGGTACATATGGGAGGCAACCAATCAATACCTCTGTCTCTCTCTCCCCCTCTCCCTTCCTCTAAAATCAATTAAAAAAAATAATAAGTCATGTATTAGGCCAAGCTCACAGATGGCAAGTGGCAGAGTTGTATGTTGAAACCATGTCTTTTTAATTACAGAGCCCACACTTATTCTTTTGCACCACTCTAAGTAAACAGAAAGAATTTATAACAGAGAGTCAACAGTTTAAAGAAATGTTTAAAGGAAAGGGAAATAAAATATTTTAAAACTTTGTTACTTAAGTACAAATACAGCCCTGGCCAGTTTGGTTCAGCGGTTAGAGTGTCGGCCTGCGGTCTAGAGAGACCCGGGTTCGGTTCCTGCTAAGGGCATGTACGTCGGTTGCAGTTTGTCCCTGGCCCTGGTTGGTCGTGCGGATGGCAACCACTGATGTGCCCCTTTTATGTCGATGTTTCTCTCTCTGTGTCTCTTCCTCTTTCTCCCTCCCACTCTATCTGAACAACAACAACAACAAAATGGAAAAAAAATGTCCTCGGGTGAGGATAAAAATAAAAAAAAAGTACAAATACAGTTATTCAAAATCAAATGTTGTACATTATCGTCACATTTACTGTAAAATATACTAACACAATTACATATATGGACAGATAGCAGAATACTTTCAGGTTAGAAGAAAGCCCAACTTCAAATGACGATGTGGCTATAGAATTTAGGGACAACAAGAACTTGTCAGAAAGCTACCGGTCAGGTCTCAGAGGCATCAAGAAGAACCCAGGGGTAGGAGAGAAAGGACAACAGTTTGCTGAAAATCAGCTCGGCAGTGGACATTCACGGATACAGTTTCATTCGGTAGAAACACTGCATAAACCAGTGCAAGAAAAAAAAAAAGTACTGTAAGCAGCAAAGCTAATGTAGATCATGAAAGACAAACTTTGCATGTCAGTCCCAGAAGTCGAGCCACTTTTGCATGAGCTGATATCGTGAGGATACGAATTGTCCATAGTTATAAAAGCTCACAGCAGTCAGGAATACCTCCAGACTCCTGCCACAATATCAGGAGATGTCAGTCACCACTATGTTTTTGTACAGTGCCTGGTAGAGAATAAGGCTGCTATTATAATGAATTTATCCTGGATGGGCCCCAGCATATGAAATAAAACAGTATTATTCTAAGCCTGTTCTGTACTTTGTCATGCAGATATATACCAGGACCGTGGTTCTCAATCAATGCCTTCTGCCCCCTCCAAAACGGTGCACCTGGCACCTCTGAGAGCTTTTGATTGCTACAATGGGGAGGAAGAGGTGCTATTGGTAACGATGGATGGAGGCATCCTACAAAGTGTGCATCAGTCCCCTCAAAACAAAGAATTAGCCCAAAACATCAATAGTGTGGAGGTTGATAAGCTCTCGACCAGAGGAGGCAACTACATTTGTGGCCTGAGGGACAGTTTTACTCACTGGCTTTTTTGAGCCCCTCACTCTCCCAAATACCAGTTCTCAGGGATCATCATTTCTGACACAGAGGTCATCAGTAAGCCTAGAATGTGAACCAGATGGAGATCAGCGTTTTTATTGTGTTTTTCATTTAAAACAACAAATCATCTGCCCTGGCTTGTTTGGCTTTGCTGTTAGAGCGTTTGCTCAAGGACCAAAGAATCGCAGTCAAGGGTACGAACCTCAGCTGGGGTTGGATGCCCAGCCCCAGTTGGGGTCATGTGGGAGACAACCAATGGATGTGTCTCTCTCACATCAATGTATCTCCCTCCCTCCCACTCTTTCTAAAAAATATCAATGGAAAAATATCCTCCAATGAGGATTAAAAAACAAACAACAAACAAACCATCCGGTAGCTCAGACAGTAGGTTCCCTCGGTTGTCACTGGCATCCCTGGACTTTTCTGAAACCAACAAACCTAAACCTAAGCCCTTTGGGGCACCTCCTTTCTGGCTGGGTCTGTTAATTCCCCACAGCAGCCTGTGTAGCTGTGTCCTCTGGTGGGAAAAGTAAAAACACTTGGGGAATGAGGCGTTTTCCTAACGTCATTTATTTAGTCTAGAGGAGAAATTCTGCTCTTTAAGAACAGGAAGGTTGCGGATTCCCAGAAGCTGGAAATCCAACCAGAGAATATTTGTCCACTGGGAAAGTTCATCACGTTGCGTTTACTTATAAGGAAGAGGATGGTGGAAAGCCCCGATTTGGCCGCTTTTTACTGCTGGCCTGCCCGGGAGAGGGTGGCACCGCGGCGGAGGGCACGGCGCCGGGCGATGGCGGGACTCCCGACGGCCCGTCCCGCAGCCCGGCTCTCCGCCCCGGGAGGACGTCTCCTCTTCCAGCTCCTAATCACTTCTAGAAACTGTCGGTGCCCACGGGGGCAGCGGGGGCAGGCCGACGGGAGCGGTCCCGGGTGGGCGGGAAGCAGCAGGAAGAGGCGGGATCCTGCCCTTTGTTTCTTGGTCCTTAATCCCTGAGCCCCGCGGCGCAGACGCCCCCCTCCCGCCAGACGCCCCCAGCGCTCCCGAGCGGGTCCGGGAATCCGCCCGGAGCGCGGGGCGGGGCGGGGCGGGGCTCGCGAGGCCCCGCCCACAAGGGCGTCCTTTAAAGGTGCCGGCGCTCGCCCGCCCGCGGCTCCGGATTCCGCCGCACTCCCTCCGACTCTGCTCCCAGCTCTGCCGGCGGTGCGTCGTCCTGCCCGACTCGAGTGAGTAGTGGCTGGGGGCATCTCCGCCGATCCCGGGGAGGGGGTTACCCACGGCCCCCGGGATCCTCAGGCCGCCCTGCCGGCGCCCCCCTCATCTCCTGTGACATCCCGATCGCCGTCCCCATTTAGACCCAGCTCCCCGATCCGCCCCACCCGCTCCTCGTGCCTGCCCTACCCCCGCAGCGCCCCGCCGTTGCTCTGGGGTCCTGGGCCCGCGGGCAGATACAGAACAGCGCACGACCTCCCTGACAGTCTGTCCCCGCGGTTTTCTGGGAGAGGCGGGTCGAGGTTTCGCGTGGCTGCGAGTCCGCCTTTAGTGGCCCTGGCCCGCTCCCCCTGCGGCCGGCTCTCTCCGCGGCGGGGAGCGCGGGACCCGAGTCTGGGGTCTCCTCTGCCCGGGGGGTGCGCGCCAGGCGAATTCCCGGGGGCTGGCGGGAGCCCGGGGCGAGGGGGGGCTTCCACGGCCCGCGCCGCGCAGAATCCTGCCCCTGCTGCGGTGCGGAGCGCCGGCATCCCATTGTTCGGGGGTCTCTGCCCGCTGGGCGCTGGACCTTAAACCGTGGAAGGGACACAGTGAAACGTCCGTGGAAAGCTCTGCTTTTCCCGGAAACCTCTAGTGTTCAGGTACAAACAGGAACGGAAGAACGCTTGGTTGCGAAATTCTGCAACAGGTCCTGAAAATCACATAATGGATTTCAAAGCTCCACGTAGGCAGCCCCAGGGGGAGGGGGCCTCCGAAATCTGGAGACACCCACCTCCACCCCCTCCCAAGCTAGGACATTTGTTGAGGATATTTGTTTAAATAGTTACCCAAAATGTTTAACGTGTTTTATTTGCAGCCTGCAGAACAAGAGTATTTTCCATTTATAAATGCTTTTTGTTCGGGGTAACACTTTATACTCGGACAGTAAGAATGATCTCTTTAGTTCTTAACTTTTCTTCCTGTATAAAACTCCACCTATATAAAACGCCAAAAATTCAAATAGGACAAGCACTAAGTTGGCTGTAATTTGCCTCAAATTTTTCAGGAAAGAGATGGGCAGTATTTTAAAAGGGTGAATCTTACAAAATTTGAAAACTGCTTGCCAAACTAGTACCATTTTTATCAAGTCCTCCATGGTCTCGCCCCACTATCTTCTTGGTCATTGCTTCTTCCTGTTGATTGCCACTGATACTTTATCAATATCTCTTAAGGTTCTTTCTACTCTGGATTCTAGTTTCTTTTGCTCTTTCAGAGTGAAGTTAGAGACAGGATCTCCATCCCATGAATCCTTGAATCTCACAGTGCTTGCTTGGGTGCCATAAACATGGTTTGACCAGAGCCAGTCGATGGTAAACAAAGTTGGAGTTGTGGTGAACGAGGATCTAGTTGGACTCAAGCAGTATATGCATTAGCAGATTTGACCTAAGGTTTCTATCATAAGTTTTAATGGATTTCTCTAAATGTATTCAACAAATACTGGTTGATATCTGGTGTCTACCAAACATTGTGCTGAGAGCAGTACTCAGTGGAGCTCTGTCCTGATTAAATTGCCAAAATATGGCCTGGTGATAGGGGCAGGACTGAAACCAGTTGGGCCTAAATTCATATCCCAGCTCCAGTACCCATTGGTTTGATGACCTTGGGCAAGTTATTCTCTGACCTCAGTTACTTTATCTTATAATATAGGTGTATCACATACTTTGCAGAATTGTCATAAGGCATACAAAGTCCCTCCCAGCCCGGAGCGTTCCCCATAGTTAAACATTGGTCTACACTTCCTTGAATCTGTGAGGAAAAGACTGTTAGGAAGGCCTCTTGCTAACTGACTCAGATATAAACACTATCTCTAGGTCCTGCGGGCAGGCCAACTGTCTTCTCTTTGCAGACATTCACAGGTTTCCTCAAGGCACCGCATCATTTCCTGGTCTGGTACTTGCATGGCTTCCCTCCCTTGGGACCTTGATGATTATTTCTGTGTCATGGACCTTTCTGGCAGCCTGGTGACGCTTCTGGACCCCTTCTCAAAATGTTAATTGTGTAAAATAAAGTACATGGTACCAAGTTCACTGATCCCCAGAATTTCAAGGGTTCTGTGGACCCCAGGCTCAGAATCCTGATTTAGGAATTTTTCTCAAACTGGATTGTGGAGGAGCTAGGCACAAGTTCTGATTGTTAAAAATTTTAAGTTTTAGTGAAAGTCATAGAGGAAAAACCAATAAAAGTATATTGTGAATCATTTGCAAAGGATACTAGGTTCCTCAGTTTTTTGCTTACCATCTCATTGCCAACAGGTCTACTAATTGTCCTTGACTCAGAAGAAGAGGACACATACCAGGTAATGCATTAGGGCCAGGTCACTATAGGAAAAGTTTCATGGTGGCTTCTCTTCCAGAAGAAAAGAGTAAAGAGAATTGAATCCTCATCTAGCACATAGAAGTACAGGAAATACCCAATTTGTCATAATTTAAAAAAAAAAAAAAAAAAAACTCACTCAAGGATACTATTTTTTTTTTCCTAAATATTTTTTTTCTTTATTGATTTTTAGAGCGAGAAGGGGAGAGGGAGAGAGAAATAGACACATTAATGAGAAAGAACATTGATTGGCCACCTCCTGCATGCCCCCCACTGGGGATCGGGCCCACAACCTGGGCATGTGCCCTGACTGCAAATCAACCGGCTACCTCTTGGTGCATGGGTCAACGCTCAGCCACTGAGCCACACTGGCCAGGCAAGGAGGATATGTTTTTATTGATTTTTAGAGAGAGAGGAACAAGGAGAGAGGGAAAAGCATTGATTGGTTGCCTCCCATGCGAGCCCCAACTGCGGATTAGGTATGTGCCCTGACCTGAAATTGAATCGGCAACCTTTTGGTGTACAGTGGTACAAAGCTCCAACCGACTGAGCCCCGCTGCCAGGGCGAGGAAATACCCAGTTTAAAAAGAACCAGCGCCAGAGCCATATAAGTCTGTACTATATTTGTGTTGCTAGCAGTGATTTAGTTTTATAGAAACATCAGTCAAATAACCTCAGAGTTTATTTGAATTTTATTGATACTAATTTTTAAGTTGAATTGATAATTTTGTTTTGGTTTTACAGTTATGAGCCACTTAACATCTTTACACCTCAGCTTCGCCACCTATAAAATGGAGATAATGATAATATAATGCCTACTTCAGTTGTTATGGGGATTAAGTTACTATAAGTAAAATACTTAGCGTAAGGAAAGCATATTGTAAGCTTTATATAAATAAATAATAATATACAAGTGAATAATAATGTATAATGCAGTAATTATTTTTACCTATCATGTGCAGGCAATATTCTAAGTGCTTTATATGTATTATTTAATCTCAGAACTGTCTTGTGATATAAATGAGCATTATCTCCATTTTTGAAGTGAGAAAATGAACAGATCAAAAAACCAACTTAAGATCATTTGGCAGATAAACAGTAGTCTTGACATATAAATCTTGGTCTGTCTCCATGTATAAATCACGCAAACGTTAACTTGTTTGAATAATTAAATACCTTGTAGTTAGTACCGACTGAATCGCTATGGCAGATGCTGGAGGTCAGGGTGACCGAGTTTTATAGCATAGTTACATTCTAATTACAGTAGGTGTGGTGGGTAGTATCCAAATCTCTGTCACAGATTTTGCTGTCCTCCAAGTTGAAGATGTAAGTGGTAACGGGCTGTAGAATTAGTAATTAATGGTGAGGAGGAAGACTGCGGGGAGAGGAAGGTGTTCCTGGGTGCAGGTAATTTGGTACCACGGGACTGATAGGTGATTTGAATGGTCTCAACCTTTAAATCAGATATGGGAGTTTGGGGACAGCTTGAGGTCCTAGAGTCAAATAAGAGTGGATTGAGCCTGGATTTGCTTCTTTGAGGGTCAGTGACCTCAGCAAGTCACTGAGCAACTGAACTCTTTGTAACCATATTTGGGCCCAGTAGTACTCCTGAAGGAAAAGAAAACCAGTGTTTGTGGAGAATAGGCTCTTTGCCAGGTATTCACGAACGTGACCTCATTAACTCCTCATAGCCACCCTATGAGTGTTCTCACTCATTTCCATGTTATAGCTGAGGAAGTTGAGGCTCAGAGATTAGGAGCTTGAACAGGGTCACGGAGCTGATAACCGACTTTCAAAACTTCGTCTAAGTTCCACTCTCATGCAGCAGGAATGTCTGAGAGGTGGCACGTGCACTGCAGTTTCCACGGCAGACATTATTAATCGCAGTAATTTTTAACATGGAACCTTGACTGAACTTCAGACTCTTTCTCAACATCGTTCCAGGAACCACTTTCGGTGGATCTGCAAGATGCACCGTGTTGCCGTCCCTACAAGGAGAGCATGCGGCTTCAGAGCCCTCTCTGCATGCCTCTGTGTTATTGGTTTTGTTGTATTGCTGTTATTCATGTACATATTTCTACCACCATAAGCTTCCTGAGAAACAGGCACACTTCCTAATAAGCCTTTGATCCTCAACTCCTAACCCAGGATATGGCTTATAAAAGGTTGAATTAATACATCTATGCGAGAGCTTCATAAACAGTAAAGCATTGTACAATGTTCATTAGCTGCCCTCACCCTAGAACAATGACTTGAGATACAGAAATGAAGTCAGGAGTTAGTGGATGAGGGCGGGCGGTAAGTCAGTTGCCCCAATAGGGGTGGGATTAGAGGCATAAGGAGGAATGGGTACATAAGATGGGTAGGGCAAGATGAGCATTGGCAACAAAGATTGAGCGTTTCTAAATATTGATGATAAAGTCTACCAATAATACCAAAAATTGAGTGCCTACTATAAGCATTTTCTCAGCTCATTCTCTTCACAGCTCTATAAGAAAGGTACTGTTCTCAGGAAATGAGCCGATGTTGACTCCAAAATCCAGGCTCTTAATTCACCCTTAGACTGAGATGTCTTAAACGCCAGCTTGAGGATTTGGCTTTGGTAGAAGGAGTCAAATGACACATGGAGTCAGTCTCTGAGACATAGGTGTCTACCCTTGGTTCA